ACACAAACAAGGTCGTGAACTTCCACATATTCACGCAAGACATTGAGAATCACATAAATATACTTGCCAGTTTTAAAAGAGAAACCTGTTTTTCACACAGACCCACACACACACACATATATATATATATATATATATATATATATATATATATATTTATAAATATTATATATATATATATATATATATATATATATATATATATAGATAGATAGATAACTAGACTCGTTTCAAAAACACCCTCGAATTTTTGATTTGCTAATTTTCGAGGGAAAAAAAAGGTTTTAAAAAAAGAAAGGAATACAAACATGAACTTCTGCCGACAAATAAATCGCACAGATACAGGTCTGAAGCCCAAAGATAAAACCCTGATACGTTTAAACAACTAACTAACAAAAGCGCTCAATACAACCGTAGAGCAGACCTAGATATAGTAGGTTGTCTGGCTCACTAGGTGTATATATATATATATATATATATATATATATATATATATATATATAATATATATATACACATACATCCCACACGCAGATATATATATTTCAATTTGTTTGACAATTGCCATGTGCATGGACGCATATACTACATTCACAATATATATATATATATATATATATATATATATATATATATATACACATATATATATATATATATATATATATAGAGAGAGAGAGAGAGAGAGATAGATATTACACTAACAATATGTATGTGTATATATGTAAATATGTTAGCTCTATCTCTGATATTGAGCGCTTTCTAATAAGTACCCCGCATATAATATATAAATAATTATATATATATATATATTTATTTATTTATATTTATATACACACACTTTTCACACACACACACACACACACACACACACACACACACACACACACATATATATATATATATATATATATATATATATATATATTATATATATATATATATTCACACACACACGGTGTGATGTGCAAATAGTCGCCATTTTATTTTTCTAATTTCGCGCATGCGCTTTGTTTTGATTTTGCCTGGCTGCACAGACTAGTCGTGTCAATTGGGCCCAATCTGTAGGAAGAAGAGCACCGTAACGCAATTTAAATCTTCCGAAAATTTTGAAAAGGGATGCAGTTCTGCTTGCCCTTCGCGCCAGAAGCTCCAATACGAACATTGCAGAGTCATTTGGTATCAATGTGAGGACCGTACGGAGGATTCGGAAAGCGACGAATGATGGTTATGAAGATGTTTGGAGTGATCACTAGTGATGCGGACGTTTTGACTCCATTCATCTTTCCACACGCCTTCAGACTCAACATGGAGACCAACAGCTAATGCTGTGAGGAGGTCGTGCTATCCGCCGTTGGGAGGGTTGATGCTGGAAGAACCTATATCTGACAACAGAACTCTGCACCATGCCACACAGGCAGGCTTGCCCAGTCATGGCTGTCAGACAATCTGCGATCAAATCACACCGTAACTCAGGCTGCATAACTCCCCAGACTGCACCCACCTTGATTATTTAGTGTGGGGAGCAATTGATCAAGATAGCAACAAAATTCCTTGTGACATCAAAGATGAACTGAAGGGGAGGATTATGGCAGCATTCACCAACTTAAACAAGAAGGCTGTCCAGAAGTTTCTGAAGTCGACTAGAGGACATGGTTGAATCAAATGGCTATTTTTAAAATAAGTTTATACTTTAGTATTTAAAAATATTTTAGTATCATTTTAGTAGCAGATGGTAAATACGACACTGAGTTCCGTTTACGTATTGGGATGGCCAAGGAAACATTTCAAAAGCTTGCCAGAGTATGGCGAGACAGGACGGTTTCCTTCGTAACGAAGAAAAGAATACTGAGCTGTTACGTGATATCTGTCCTTTTTTACGGCAGTGAATGTCGGACGATTTCCTCAATGATGATGAAGAGACTTGAGGCGAGTGAGATGTGATTCTACAGAGCGTGTGAGCAACGATGAGGTGTTAGAGAGGTTGCTATGAAGGAGGAGTCTTATACTTTACATCAGGAATAGGAAGCTGAAGTCCCTGGGACACACAACGAGGAAGAAGGGCCTTGAGAATCTGATACTCACTGGTCGAATAGAGAGAAAGAGAAAAAAGTAAAAACAACGCGTGACATACCTAGCGGTTTATGCAAGTGGATGACAGAACGTGACCTGAGGGAGGTGGCAGAGGCAAGGAACTTGATGAGAACTGCAAGGAATAGAGGGAACTGAAGAGCCATGATCGCCTACGTCCTCAAAGGACACGGTACAAGGAAAATGAGATGTCAGTATTATTTTGATCTTGGGGTAATTTAGAAGACAATTTATTCTTTTATGAACATCTACGGTACCTTACACAATTGTCATGGGTCCTTACCTATAACTACAGAATGAACTTTTCCTAATACTATGTATACTACGCCTCTCAAGAGAGAGGGTCGAATCAAGCCGAGCTTCTCGGCTTCACGGTCGAACTCTCTGCCTCTGAGCAGAGATAAAACCCGGACGAGTCTCCGCCGAAGGGCAGAGTTTCGTTCGGGGAGGTTGACCAACCCGATTCCGTTTATACGGGTTCTACGGGCATGTTTTGGCCGAGCATACGGGCTTGGGAAACCCACGTTAAACTCGGCCTTGTGCCATATGCAACCCTCGTGGGAGGGTGGCTAGATACCAAATCAAGCCGAGCTTCTCGTCTTGACGGTCGAACTCTCTGCCTCTGAGAAGAGAGGAAAACAGACGAGGCTCCGCCGAAGGGCAGAGTCTCGTTCAGGGAGGTTGACCAACCTGATCCCATTTATACGGTTTCTACGGGCATTTCTTGGCCGTGCCTACCGGTTCGGGAAACCCACGTGAAACTCGGCCTTGTGCCACATGCAATCCTCGTTTGTGTGGGGGTTGATACCGAATCGAGTCAAGCCGTTTCGGCTTGACGGTCGAACTCCCTGCCTCTGAGCAGAGAGGAACTCGGACGAGGCTCCGCCGATGGGCAGAGCCTCGTTCGGGGAGGTTGACCAACCCGATTCTGTTTTTACAGTTTCTACGGATATTTTTTGGCCGAGCCTACGGGCTCGAGAAACCCACGAAAAACCTCGTACCACATGCAAACCTCGGGGCCGGGTGGCTAGATACCGAATCGATTCGAACCGATAGTAGTTCACTCCAAACCAGACTGACAGTCATACTAACACCTTCCACATCTTGTATTATTATTTCGTGTAATATACCTTCGTTATTTCTACTCTTGTGTTCGTGTTGTTCTTCCTTGGATCTAACCTGGACCATAACAATAATGAAATTAATATCGACATTTGGAAGGATTAAAATAAAATAAATCGACATAAAAACTCCAGTTTATTCAACAAAACATGCTTGAATGAAGATATGCTGTCTAAATATGTTTAAAACAAGGGATAATCTTTATTAATGATTTAATCTTTATTTCGATAATTTACCAGTTTCAGGTTCATATGTAGATGTCAATTGTGCGATGATTGAGTACTTTAGTCTGTTTGAGATTAATAAAGATCTTTGTTTTATGAGGTTGTCTTCGTTTTCAAATATCGTATTTCTGAATGTTGATCTGATATATCTAAGTATGTGACAGAAACCAAGAAAATATTTCAAAATATAAAATGACTGTAAACAAGACCCTAGAGACCAGGCTACACTACTAATTAATCCCTAACTTATTCACACTTTTTTGAGTAAACGTACTCATCAAACTAGTCGCATACTCCATAATTGTACATATTTTATCATTTAACCCAACAGAGTATAAACAGATAATATTCAACGTTACTAGGTAAAACCTAGATAATTAGCATTGATCGTAAATAAATTTGAACTCATAAACTACAATAAATGAGATTTAGAAACTGTTTTTACTGCGAATAATTTCACTTACACACACACACACACACACACACACACATATATATATATATATATATATATATATATATATATATATATATTAAGGTTATCCCTTTCTTAATTATTTAGTTAATATTTCCTCTGGTGCTACATTGAGCTCTCTGAATCACATCCTCTTTGGCAATATCCACACTGATTACCAAACCCTTCATTACCTTACTATATATATATATATATATATATATATATATATATATATATATATATATATATATATATATTATAAACACTAACATTTTCTGTTAACGTGGTATCCACCAAAGAAGGCAATACCTGAAAAATCATTATCGGTATAAATCGTAGTAGCAGAAATGGCTGTTGTTTATATTTTAAATACGAAATTAACTCTGCACATTCGATTCTTGCAACTGTGAGCACTTTTAAAAAAATATAACCTCTTCCTAAACAAGATATATCTTTTCTGAATAAACAGTTTTTTTTTACTATACACACACACACACACACAAACACACACACACACATATATATATATATATATATATATATATATATATATATATATATATATATATGTCGTGTGTGTCTGTGAGAGGTGAGAGAGCGTTGTGTATGGTTGTGTGTGTGTGAATTAGCAGTTTCCAAGTGAGACATGAGGTGATTTTAGTGTGCATCTTTATTTTCTATTTAGTTTTGTACGCTATTTTCCTTCCATTTACACAACTTTCTTAATGGAATACTTTTTTTGTCATTCTTTTTTCGTTTGCCAAATGTCAAAGGAAAATAATAATCATAATACAAAAACCGAATGTCGTCCTTCCTGCTCCTAAGTCGAGTGCATTTAAACTTGTTTGGCTTCCCAAGATGCCCAGCTTTGATAAGCAGGTCCTGATTTTGATGGAAAGATGAGACGAAATTTGTCAATTTCCACGTCGTTATTGCAGTCCAACTCTTTTTAGTCTTCGTTTTCATCGACTTCATTTTCTTTGCAGTGTTTGCTTTTTTTTTTTTTTTTTCGAATTTGTTTATTTTTTGCTTTCCTGTGATTTACTTGGTCCAGGTTTCATTCACTTTTCTTTATATTCTTTCTCTTTCTTCTTCATTTTGCCTAGATCTTTTTTACTCTCTTTTCTTTTCTTTACTCCTCAGTTTTTTTTTAGTTTCCTTCACGTTTCATTTACGTAAATTTAATAAAAAAAAAAATTCGACTTTCTTGTCTTTTATTGATTTCGTTTGCTTTTAATTCTCACTTCTACTTTAACATTGGTTCATGTATTTTTCTTTCTTCATCAATTAGTTTTTTTTTTCATTCTCTTTATCTCTCTGTCTTTCTTTGATACTGCTTCTCTTTTTATTGCTTTTCCTTCTCACTGATTATTAACTTGTCTTTTTTTCAATTTTACTATCAAACACAGTCATTCATATTTTTTATCGTGAATTGCTTTTTCCCTTAGAGTTCTAGTTTCTTTTTTCTTTTTTTCTTATCGATTTTCAGGATTTATTTTCCATTTTAATTCTAAGCCATTTGATTGGTTCGTTTCTTACCCGTATTTTTTATTTGTCCCATCGAAAATGTTTTTCTGTTAAATCGCATTTTTCCCTGCTTATATTCTACTAAACATTGAAGTTTTCTTCTATGTCTTTCTTTCTTTCTTTCTTTCTTTCTTTCTTTATTTATTTATTTATTTATGTATTTATTTCTAAATATGTTTATTTTTTTCTTTCTGTCTCTTTATACATCTTTCATTCTTTCCTTCTTTTCTTTCTATTAAATATCCTCATTTTTTTTTTCTTTTATATATATATATATATATATATATATATATATATATATATATATATATATATATATAGATAGATAGATAGATATAGATATATATTTATTTCTTTTAAATATCATCATTTTATCTTTCTCTTGATACATATTCATTCTTTCTTTCTTACATTATCTTTATTCTTTCTTTCTTTTATTTCCAGCAATACAAATCCGTTTTATTTTTCTTTCTATTCACATTGTGTATTAGTATTTACACTGACCTTCCATAGGCTAATTTTATTCTATTTCTTTATCCTATACATTATGTTTTGTCATATTTGTTATTTTTCGTTCATAATTGCACTTTCTTTCTTTTCGATGTTCCTTTTTAAAACCTTTTCTGTACATCCAACTTTTTTTTTTTACTTTATTTTTTAATGATCTTCATTCTTTCTTATCGTTTTTTCTTTCCTATATCTTAATAATTACTTTTTTCTCTTTTCTTTCTTTCAAATATCTTAATGATTTTTTTTATATTTCCGTTTTTGTTCCTTTCTTCTTCCTTTCTTTCTTTTAAATATCTTCATTATTTCTTTCTTCTTCGTTATATATATATATATATATATATATATATATTTATTTTATATATCTTTATTTGCTATTTCTCTTTATATGTTTCATTCTTTCTTTCCTCTAAATATATTCATTCTTTGTTTCTTTCTCTTTATTTATTTCTCTTTTATATTGTGCATTATTATTTTATTCGATATTACATCTTCTTTTCTTCCTTCCGTCATTTCTTCTTTCTTCCTTTCTTCATTTTTTTTCTTTCATCCATTTAAATAGCTTCATTCTTCTGTTATTTCGTTTCTTTCTTTCTTTCTTCTACACGTCTTAATTATTTCTTGGTTTTTCTTTCTTTCAATCTTTCTTTTTTTCATTATTTCTCTCTTTCTTTTGCATTCCGAATTATAACCACATCTTCATTTTTGCTTTTTATATTGTGTGGTAATATTTTCTTCATTCTTCCCTCCTTCTCCCTTCCTTTCATTCATTCTTTCTTTCTTTCTTTCTTTCTTTCTTTCTTTCTTTCTTTTGCATTCCGAATTATAACCGCGTCTTCATTTTTGCTTTTTATATAGGGTGTTATTATTTTCTTTTTTTTCTTCCTTTCATCTTTCTTCATTTCGTCCTTCCTTCCTCCTTTTCATTCTTTCTTTCTTTCTTTCGTTTCCTTGATTCTATTTTTCATTCATTAAAATTATTAATATTTATGATTATTATTATTGCCTTTTCAAACTCGAAGAATCCGATGCTTATCAATGACAAGCCAGTGACAGCAAATATCTTCAGATTTCCAATTCTCTCTTTTATGGCTTCATCTTTCCGACTCTAATAATAATAATAATAATAATAATAGTAACAACATGTTGCAGCAAATAACCTAACTGGCATGTCTGTGCAAATGAATGGAGAAACAAGTAGGAGAGATGTCCAACAAGAAATGTATACATATTTACTAATACCATAAGTTAATTACTCTGCATATAAAAAAAAAAAATTCTAGGCTACATGTTCATGAAATACAATCGGGAAAAATTCATATTTTCCATCCGGTATTATATATATATATATATATATATATATATATATATATATATATACGTGGTGACCCCAAAAAACGGGAATTTTTGAAGCGCGTATTTCAAGACATGAGCAAGTCGCAACACTGCGAGACAGTGACCTTGAGTAAGTAAACATTTCGCCATTTAAAATTCAAGATGAAATTCACAGTATCCCAGCTGAGATGTTGCAGCAGCCAATGTGGAATCTCAACAACAGATTTCAAGAATGCATTCGTACATGAGGACGCAATTTACAGGACGTAATTTTAAAAAATGAAAATTCCATCATTGTTTCTCAAATGGCATGGTTTATGGATTCAATTACTATGAATAAATTATTTTTCTTCCCTCACTCTAGGTTTTATTGCATTGTTAAAAGTTCCCGATTTTTTTGGTCACCCTATATATATATATATATATATATATATATATATATATATATATATATATATATATATATATATATATATACGTGTAACTGCAATATTGTCCAATTGTTAGATTAACGTTTCAACCGTTGTGCCCAACTTACAGTCTCGATAGAGCCCCAAATTCTACCCTCTAATCCATTTCCCTCAGAATAAATATCAATTCTCTCGATACTCTATCGCTATTTCCAAAAAAAACATCCATTCATAGTCACCCGAAAGACTTGTCACCGGCTACGTATCTTACAAACTGTAGGATCTCGTGTCGGCCATCTGAAACAGAAAATTATTCTATGTAGGAATCATAAGACTTTTGGAGCACCCGTTACATTACTTTGTCCCAACAGTTCTAAATACCCCGTCTAAGTCTCACAATACCACACGCATTCTAGCGAGTAAACCTCATTTCCTTCGTATTTCACTGGTGTGATGTAACTTCCATTCGAGCAGCTTTTGTCCACGAACCATTTCTTTATTGGACCGTCTCCCAAATATTAAACTGTTTAAATCTAGGGTCATCCGTTATCTTCAACGTAAATCCGCATAAACAATGCATATCACTCTGTAACAATTTCCTCTACGGTATTGTAAAAGGTGGACATCATTGTAAAAACATTCACGTCTATTTAAGACTCAATTATGTCTAGAAATAGAAGATTCTCCCGCCCAGAGAAGCAGCGCTAGACCTGATATGTAACGAAGTCCGGATAATGTCACGCTTGCGCTAAAACATCTCGGCCTTGTCTTTGCAATCACTCGTCACTTGTGATGTCCGTGTATTTATGTGGCTCTGTCTTGATGCCAGGTGACATTATTACACAAAAGATGTTTTGCTTGAACTAATGGCTTCTCTCACTATATCCAGCTTTTCACAGTATCTAACAGTTTAACTGTATAACCTTGAAGAACACAGTCTTCGAGCCACACAATTTGTAAATAACATATCAATCCCTTTAACATCGAACGATTTTTTTAAATTGCTACCGTGAAAACGGATGCTTCTGTATCTGGAATTAAGTTTTCGGGGTAACTTGATGCATCCAGGTCTCATCACCAGAAATTTCCTCTCTGCTTCCCAAAAGTGGTCTAATACCGAAACGAAATGTCCATTCACTGGAACTCGTATTCTTCAAGTAATTGATTTTGGATTCAACGACAGGAGACCTTCCGATATCCCAATTTCTAGTGGACGATTTCACGAAACGCCGACTTCAGGAGAAATTCCATAGCCTTATCACGAATTTAGTATCGTCTATCATTTTCAATGAAAGCTTCAGCGCGCACAATGTTGTCTTCTATTGCCGATTAACATGAATGCCTCCTACAAAGCTTGTTTTACAGATGCGTACACCTTTCTTTGAGTGCATTACACCAGGCCGATAATTGCTTTCTGCTTATAACCAGTTCGCCATACATTGCTATCAGTCCAGTGTGAATTTCTCTACGATTTTTGCACTTGTCATGACAAATATTATTACACCTCGTATCTCTATGCTTGTCATTTGTTTTATGAGGGCAATTATCTTTGTTGAGACGTCACATAAGCACACGGTCATAATCATGTGTCTTCTGGCTGTTCCAAGATACCCCACCGCCCTGTTGCTTTGTATTGACAGCGTTCACACTATTTTTATTCTAGTAGATTTATGCCGATCTGTGCCGTTTTCAATTCAAGAAGAAAGCGATCATGAACAAGAAGAAGGAGAAAAAGAAGAAGGAGTAGGATGAGAAAGAGGAGAAGAAGGGGGAGGTGAAGAAGAAACATGCGGAAGAAGAAGAAGAAGAAGAAAAAGAAGAAGGAGAAAGAGAAGTTGAAAGAGAAAGAGAAGGAGGAGGAGCAGGCGGTGAAAAAGAAAAAATGAGGAGGAGATGAAGAAGAAAAATGATGAGGATAAGGAGGAGGTGAAGAAGGAGGAGGGGGAGATGAAGAAAAACAGGAGGAGGAGGAGGTGAAGAAGAAATATTAGGAGGAGGAGGTGAAGAATAAAAATGAGGAGGAGGATGGGAAGAAGAAAAAGGTGGAGGAGGAGGAGGAGGATGATGAAGAGGAGAAAAAGGAGGAGGAGGCGGAGAAGAAGAAAAATGTGGAGGAGGAGGAGGAAGTGAAGAAAGAAAATGATTATGAGGAGGTGAAGAAGAAGGAGGAGGAGGAGGTGAAGAATAAGAAGACGGAGGAGGAGGTGAAGAAAAAATAAGAAGAAGAAGAAGAAGAAGAAGAAGAAGAAGAAAAGAATAAGAAGAATAAGAAGAAGCTGAAGAAGAAGGATGTGAAGAAGAAGAAGGATGTGAAGAAGAAGGAAAATTGAAAATGAGAAGAAGGTGAAAAAAAAAATCATTTGAAAAAAAAAAACTTAAATAATTTTCATTTTACACATTATATGTCACAGCTAAATTCCGCCATTTAGCCTTATTTTCATGATATATTCCATAAAGTCGTCAACACGATGCCACAAATATATACAAGGTCATGCGTTAATTTGATTAAATGCCTTTGGGAAATAATGAGTCTAAATCTACTTATAGGTCAGGTTAGCAATTACTCACAGTTGATGGAAACATGTAATCAAGTACACTTCGCCATATATAACGTGGAGACGAGACGCACACTACCAAGTGAAGTCATTTCAAGAAGAAATGCAATGGAAGCTTAGTATTTTACCCGGACGATTTAATTTACGATGAGATGATTTGATAAAGATTCTTAATTATAATTTACCAAATATTAAGAAAAAATAACATAAGATGCAGATATTTTCCATAGTTTTGCTGGAACTGTTTGATAAATTAAATAAAAAAAAATTATCCCCCATTGTAAATGTTTTGGATAATTAAAAGTTAGACATCCTGGGTATGACGATGAACTACGTCCAACAGCAAGGCTTCTGATCAGGAGGTTTTGAGCAACGTGAAACCACCTCTTAATTGCTGGTGTTCACAGGTCCACCCTGACCCCAGGTGGTAGC